CGACTGAACTCGCCTAGGCAGAAGAAAGGAAAGGCAAAGAAAATATAGGAAAGGAGAAGAGGTAAGGGAAAGATAGCGATTAAGTTATGAGGGTTCTGAAGTTTGGAGCGTCTGACAATGTAACGAGAAAGGAAGGGATCTACAGAGACAAAGTCAGGACTAAGATTCATATTAGGAAAGCTGTGTATGGACTAAGATTCATATTAGGAAAGTTGTGTATAAGGGATGCTTCAACAAGATGGCCAAATCGTAAGCAGAGGCGTCGCTAGGGTTGGTGTTACTCGGGATGACATCTTTGGTGTCACCCGGGGTGACATCTTTGGTGTCACCCGGGGTGGCATCTTTGGTGTCACTTCCATGAAATCCAGGGGCGGAGGTATGGGGGTAGTAAACTCCAGTTACATCACTGTTGCATGACCAGTGACTAATGTTTAGCAATGAGAACGTTTAAAGGCCATAACCGAACTTTATTAATTATTAAATAATCGTAGTAATATTGAGGAAACAAACTCAAATATCACTTCGAGTACAGGCAACAGATCCTACATTCATTCATCTTCAACAATGAAAAAAAAAACGTGAAAAATAAAGAAAAACACTAGTTCCGATTTAAATTTGAGTACAGGTAACATCTCAAAAATTCTGATATTTCATTTCCTTGCCTTCAATCCTGCAAAATCATCTATCACATCAAAATCAATGATTTTTCCCTATATAGGCCTATTTGTACTCTATAATCCTATAATATGCTATATAGAAACGAAGGGTTTTCCTCTTATGTTACTGCAGCATGATTTTGGTCATTAGTGTCACCTTTAGAGGCTTTATGGTGTCACCCATTAAATGGTGTCACCCGGGGCGGCTCCCCCCCCCCCCTTTACGACGCCCCTGATCGTAAGTTTTTAAGTTTTGTGGACATAGCACACAATTATTTTACAGTGGACTTAAGGGCACACATTTGGTTTGGGCACATAAAAGCCACACTGTTTAGAATTAGCCTAGGATAACCCAGTGAGGTCATATGTGACCTATTTCCACAGGGGTCCCTGTTAATAACTACTGCAAACAATTCACAGAATGGGTGAGATTTGAGCCCATGGCTAGCCAGTTCTAAAAACCAGAAAGCCAGTGCATTAACCACTGTGCCATGCCTGCTAAATATTTAACCAGCAAGGTATATTTCTATACATACAACGCAGGTTGGCATGGGCATTGCTAAACTCGAGGGTTATACAGAGCTGCAGGAAGGGATGTGTGAGAGGAGGAATGCCCTAAGCTGATTAGGGAGTGAAGTGCAGGAGTATAAGGGGAGGATTTAGAAGAGGAAAAGTAAAATTACAGTTGGTATAACAAATTAGTTTTTGTTAAAGTTAAGAGTGTGTACATCAGAGGTAGAACATTCAGCAAGGAGGGAGGGTGGGTGGGTTTGTTTTGGAGCGGCAGAGACAACACAAGTGAATTCTGTGGGCCCGCTGATAGGCTGAACAATCTAATGTGCTGAACTGAGCGCAGCTGCACAATCCTCACAGTGGTGCCAGTGTTGTTCCATAAGGTATCCCTGAGGTGTGTGACCAATACGTAGATTAGAAGAGTGGGAAGACGGCTAGAAACCAAATTGTGGTTTGACAATAAAATTTGTGCACCAGCACTACCGTTGGTTGTTCAGTCGTCGAGAAATCACTTGGATAATCTGAGCAAGGAATTCCTGTTAGAAATTGAAAAGTCAAGAACAGCTGATTGAATCGTTACCCCTAACATCGACGTGTCCCAGAGGCATAACCAAAGTTCATTATTATAATAATCAAGGGGGAAGCGCTAAACCCGGAGGATTATACAGCGCCTGGGGGGGGATGTGGAAGGCATTCAGGCTTAATTCGGGGAACTGGAGCACAGATCCAATTCCCTAAATCAAGAGCCCCTCACCAACATCAAGGAACCTTCCTTGAGGGGAACCAAAGTTCAATGCAAAGTATGAGGGGAGTCGAATTTTTGGATAGCCTATGATGATTGACACTACTACAAATGACAAGGGAGGCATCTATGCAATGTGCATTATAGCTCTGAGAATCGCATATAACTCACCTGTGAAAACACTGGCAGAGTCTAGTAAATGACTTTAGATAATTGTTAGGAAAAATTTCTGCATATCCAACACCACCAGGGGACTTAGACATCATGTACACTGCAATAGCATGAGAATGGAAGTGATCAAAAACTGTGAAATTATAGGGAAGTGATCAAGAAAGTGTGAAATTATAGAAGGCAAGTGAGGTTTCGCACATGGGAGGGGGAAAGAGCAAACATGAATCGCCGGGACTTCCCAAGGAGGGAGAGAAAAGTAAGATGCAGGGTGAAGGTAGAGGGGAGGTAAATTATGGGAAACCAAGAGAGCAAATACGGAGAGTAAAGGAGTGTAATAAATGGGGACGGCAATTCAACAAAGCCTTACTAACATCCGCTACCCCTCTATACCTGGAAGGATCATGAAGGTCATAAGGACGGACAAACTAGGGGAGACAAACGTTGTGATGAATTACATAGAGGCGCTCAACTGGGGAAGAGCAGAAAGCTCCTAGAAACAAACGTAACCCATGAATAAGATCAGTAATGTGGGAGGCTGCAGAGTATGGATGGTCACCATAGTCTAGTCTAGATAAGGCGAGGGCGGGGTGAATGCAGAGGTTGTCTATCAGCCCCCAAGAAGGGTGGGCCAGAATTTTTAAGGAGGTTTAGAAAACTGACATGGCAGCTTTCAGAGGTTATGTGACGCTTCCAGATTATTCGGTAATCAAACTAGAAGACATCATTTGATTATATCCTGACAGAAGACATAATATTGATTGTATCCTGACAGAAGACATAATTTGATTGTATCCTGACAGAAGACAAATTGATTGTATCCTGACAGAAGACAAATTGATTGTATCCTGACAGAAGACGTAATTTGATTGTATCCTGACAAGACGTAATTTGACTTTCCTGACAGAAGACAATTTGATTGTATCCTGACAGAAGACATAATTTGATTGTATCCTGACAGAAGACATAATTCGATTGTATCCTGTTCAGGGATACAGAATCATGAAAATGTAGAACAGTCTGAGGAACAACATGACATCTTGTGAAAGTAAGCTGTGTTTCAGCAACATTATATTTAAACCCATGAGAGGTGTGCCCCGGTGGGAAGCACAATTAATAGTATTCTGGAGAGGCTGCTACAAGGTGACAGTCAGCAACTGCACATAAAGAGACTACCAAATATTGGAAGGAAGAACAGTGATGGTTATTAATAGCAAGCAGGAGGAGGGACACCTTCAGTCTGGGTGAAGTCAGGGGAAGAGACTTATTAACATGGATGCAGAAGTTTCATTCTGATAAATCCCCAAGGAAAAGCAGCAGATTGCCTTAGAGGCTCAAGGAATGGGCTTCGGCCAAGATGTAATGCCAGGTATCTTAAACCTTTTTGAGAGAGACTACAATAACCAAGTGACCATTAACGAAGGCATTGCGAACACAAATATCCAATCAGATTATGGAGTAGATGGTAGAGCAACCCTTACAAAAGCCAAATTGAAGAGAGAAGAGATGATTATGGTGTTTCCAAGTGCGTACCATACTAAAAGCTTGTTAACCAAGAGTACTAATCCACAAAGCGCATTAGTAATGAAAGGTGTCATGCACCGAAGTACCTTGCCTGTGAAAAGGGAGGACATCAGCAGTTTTCTATTGTAGTAGGAGAACCTCTTGGGATGAAAAGAGATTGAAAAGGCATGAGGATAAGCACCATAGGGTGTAAATGCTGATGCATAGGGACGTGAATGGCGAACTTGAAGGTCATGTATAAGGTTCCATAATGTGATTAGAAAAATTCAGAGGGGCCGACTCCCTCTCAGGTTTGGAGGACAGATATAAGGGAGAGAAATGGAGCCCTTGATAATGGCTGCAAAGTGCAAATGTAGTGATGGTGGCAATTCAAAACCTAAGAGAAGCTGTGAAATGCTTCCCAGTTAGTGAAAAGTGCAAATTCTAGACTTATTTTGCACAATTTATTGATTAAACTTTATCATAGGTATGTATGTAAACAAAAAATGACATATATAAGGTTCACTACTATCCACAGTTTCAGGTACCCATGGTAGGTCTTGGAACGTATCCCCTGAAGATATGGGGGGCTACTGTAGTTGCATTTGAGGGAGAGATGACATAAGTTGCATCATCTGCAATTCGGGAGATCATTGATGTAAATAAGAGGAGCAAAGGGCCAAGGACACTGCTTTGAGGTACTTGTACGTCTACAGGCAGAGTTGATGAGGTTACGCCATTGGTGGAGACACTGGTATCAGTCGCTAATTATTATTATTATAATAAAAAAAGAAGAGCTAAGCCACAAAGGCTATACAGCGCTGGTCAGTCGCTAAGATGAGACTTTAGGTATACAGGAATATGTCCTGATCCCATAATGTTTTAGTTTAAGGTTCAGGGTGTTGTGGTTCACTGTATTGAAAGTTTTCTGCACGTCTATGAAGAGTCCCCAGAGGATATTCATTTTTCAGGAGCTGCATAAAGCAGTTGAAGAATTTTTATAATTACATCATTTTTTTTTTGGCAAGTTGGATATTGACCAATAGTTATTTACATCAGTTGGATCGCCTCCTTTAAGGATTAGGGTGACCCTTGTTACTTTAAGTATTGTTGGGAAAGTTGTAGATTTTAATGATTTGTTGAACAGAGTTGCAATAGTGGGTGACAAGACGAGTTGCTTTTTTATACACGAGTATTGCAACCACCCCTTGAAACTATTGCTTCTGGTAAAACCTTACCCTTGTAAGCATGTACAAATAAACTGAGGTGGTAATGCCCATGTATAAAACTTCAATGTCACTACTGATGTGTAGCATGCAATAAATGACCATCCTTACTATTTACCTTTTTTTTACTGCATATATTCTAAAAGCTTAAATTGACAATGATGTTAACTCTTTGTAATGATACTGTTACAGGCTCACTACACAACATGTACCTGAACGTGAACTTAACTCCGCCGCCAGCAGCGGCTGGTGAGGGCTCCTGCACTACACCCAAAACACCGGAGATCCTCAACTCCCTCATCAACCTGACTAGTCCACCCCTGCCACACTATTCTCAATACCAAAATCAGGTTAGTGCCACATTATTCAATAAGAAGTGCTAAACCCATGGGGGTCGTGCAGTATGTGGGGAATTAAAGGTAATTGGGTTTGATCAAAGGAAGGAGAGGATAACTCTTGTTTGAAAGTGCTATTCACCAGCATGAATAAAGCCCTTTTTCCTTGAAAGGGTTTCATAGTAGCTTACTGACAGTGTCTTCAGTTGAACTGAAGGATCCAAGGTCAATCCTGGAACGAGTCGAGACGTTGGACATAATTTCCTCACCTAGCAGTAAATAAGTGCTTGGATATCATTGAATCAAATTTATAAAATACCAGCAAGTTGAAGAATGACATGTCAAACATTTGAATATCTGTGAGAGATGTTTCATGCTATAGGGGTTTAATTAATCTTCAGTGTTAGCTGACTGTTGTGGGTTACATCCTGAGAGAGTGGTAGTATGCTTTAGATAGATCTAGGCTTGATAATTGATTTCCACTTTGCACTTACCTATCAATATAATAATTTATGATATTTCCCAAGAGTGTACAAAAATACTAAACATTATTGAAAAGAACAAAGCTCAGATAATGTGGTGCATAATTTGGGCTTTATTTTCTTTTCAATAATGTTTAGTACTTTAGTGGTATATTTGTTTCGTATATTAACAGCTTTTAGCCTGTAAATTCAACAGTGTAACAACAAAACCTGATGAATGTTATTTAATTGTATAATGTTTTACTCTGCTTTTCAGTCTTGCATAAAGCCCTTAAATATTAGCTTCCTAATTCTACTACTTGGAAAACATTCTTATATTTTAGTAGTTGTCTTAGATTTTATAAATTTATCTTCTCGTATAAATTTTAAATTCATAAAACAAGTTTGGAATGCTACTTTGGTGTTGCAGGTGGAAGGTGGGGCTCTACTAAGTCCTATTAGTGACATGAGCAGCCCTGGTGAAGAGTCCACAGTCACATCCCTGAGCAGCATGTGCCATGGCAGAGAAGACTCCATAACACGACGGATGAGTGATCCTGTGGCTGCCAATGGTGGCTTTCCTGGCGGTGGGGGTGGTGGAGGTGGCTTGGTGGGCGGGTCCCCCGGCACCTCAGGTATGGGCGGCCCCCTGGCTGGGGCATCGCCCCCCTCCACCCCTGACTTGCCTTCACCTGTCAATACAGTGGAAGCTACAAAATCAGCTCTTATCAAAGAGGGTCTCAAGCTACAAATACGTACCAAATTGCAAGCTGCTGGCGTCGATACTCCTGAATCCATCCTCGAAGACACCAAATATATCAAGGATGAAAATAGCGATGTAAGTATCCTAGCTTTACACATCATATCAATATAAAATATGAATGACTCTTAAAGTTAAATCACAATAGCTTTGGAAAAAAACTACAAGTGGGAAATCCATTAACTTAGCATCAGGAGCAGGAATGAGTTGTAGATTGATGAAAAAGTATCATAGTTTATAGTCAGTATTTGTTAAAATTCACAATCATATATCTACCACACAAATTCCAGGCAATACTAGGATTTGTTTGTTTTGCTTTTTACTGCCACCTAATTTTCCTAATGTTACTGTACAAGGGACATGGAGAGTTTATCAGTATAAACTAAGTTTTGCCCTCTGTATGCTAACATAATTCAAATCTGTGCATGACATGACTTGTTATATTCAAGGGAAAATGCTAAATCCATAAAGATATACAGTTTGAACAAAGGACTGCGAGATTACCTCAAATTCCTGGTTTCAAATCCCTTTAACATCAAAGAAATCTCCCTTCAAAGGGAATGTAATATAGAATTATTACAAAGGCAAACTTAAAAACTAGTTAAAAACAAATCTCAATGCAGTGCCCTCAGTTTAATGGACTGACAAGGAAGGAGGTGTCTGTTGAAGGCAATTGTCCATTGAAACCAAATTATAAAATAGATTTTCCATTATAATAGAATAAACAGATAGTCTGGAAGCATGGACCTGGTTCAATTATTTGGAAGGTAATGAGGACACTATTGTTACCCAACAATTCCTTAAACATCATTGTCTGTTGGATCGAGAGACTACCGGACACACTAAGAGTAACCTGTAATACAGTATGGTTCTTATTCTAATGTACATGTATATTAAAGTACAGTACTTTTACTTGCCTTTTTTTGGTGAATGTACAACACTAAATTGTGCTACAACCTCTTCTAGTGCATGCCGTAAATTTGCCGTTGATTTTATGGTTATCAGACACTTTCTTTACACCATATTCCTCACAAGACAATGCCACTAAAAATAACGACTGTCACCTTATTAGTTCATATTTCTGATTAACACTGATTCACATGTATGCTCATGGTGTCACCACTTACTTTTGAGGCCATTGTTAATAACACTGTATACTTAAAATGTTAATACAGCCTCTCCTCACTTAGCAACGTACTCGTTTTACTGACGATTCAGACTTACGATGGGCTCTCTGAGCAGTAAGCAAACCTAAATAATGTATATTAGAGCTGATTTCCTCTATTCTGTTTACTGAGATAAGCAGTATAACTGCTGTATAAACATTTAAAAATATACCACAGATGTTATAAATGATGCAAAGGTGACATTACAGCCTACTAGACGCCTACTAATAATGAAGACTGGATACAACAGACTTGGTCCATTCGTAAACATCACCTCTAATGGACAAAATCCAGACCCAGTGGATTAAATCTATTGGATCCAGCTTTTGTCTAGCCAAATTTTGTCCATTGCATCCAAGATTCATTAAATTGGGTCTTTAAATTTAGGATTTATTGGTTTAATTGCATCATTTAATCTAATCTAAAAGGCAGTCACTTTATTAGTCCATACAGATATTATCCAGTATTAGGGTGAGGACATAATCTTACACACACAAGTTTTAAACATAATTACCTTACCATTGCTCACCTCAGTAGAGTTCAAACATCTGTATCAAGCCAAACATCAGAACTGAGTGATAGGGTTAAATTGAGTTTTGTTTAATAGGTGACATAGTAGAGCATTGAACTCTTGACTGAATTAACCCAGGTGGGACAAGACAACTGGGGAGGTGCTAAATCCATAGGGTCATACAGTGTCCGAAGAATGGGACATAATCAAGTATAATACAAGGAAAGCGTGGGTAATTCCAATTCCTTGGATCAAGTGTTCATAACCAGCATCCAGACAACCCTGCCTTGAGAGCACAGTGAACTAGTTACCTAGGTGTTAATTGGCTGTTGTGAATCACATCCTCCTAGGCAATAACTGAATGGAAACAAATCGTACAAGGAAGCTCGAATAGCTATTCTAGTTAGTGCACACCTCAGAGACGACTTCATGAAAGCTGCAGATACCATGCTGGTGGTTACTAGTCCTCCTGCTAGCAAAACTAGGATACCTGGGTGGCAGACACTGAGTGACAGGCTGGAAGTAACACTATTATCACAACAGGTGGTAGTGACGAGCTAGTGTGACCTGGTGTGAGGAGGTGACGTGATGCTAGTGACGTGCGGTGATTCCCGTCATGTTAGTAACATGTTTGTCACAACAGCTGACTGAGGAGGATGAGGAGCGGAGACGACGGCGGCGAGAGAGAAACAAGATAGCAGCCACAAAGTGTAGGAACAAGAAGAAGGAGAAGACCATTGTGCTCATGACCGTAAGTCACTCTCTCTCGTGCTTTTTCTCATCTCTCTCTCTCTCTCTCATCATGCTTTCTGTCTCATGCTCTCTCACTCAGTGTGTGCTCACCAAATTGTGGTTGCAGGGGTCAAGTCTCAGCTCCTGTGTATGTGTGCACACATGCAGGCAACCTTTGAAGCTCCCATTACTGATGATCCCTTAGTGGAATGCTTGATGATGTCCTCATTGCCCCAACTTGGGTTTCCAAGCTCAGGCTGACAGATTTCAAACTGTGTATAACCCCCATCCTGTGTGAGGGAATATGACAAGGAAACATACCTAGCTTTTGTTCCCACCATGTGATTATCATATAGAAAAGAGTAGCAGCACACTACTGTCCTGTAGCTCGATTGCTAGCGCACTCTGCTCACACACTTAAGTCTATGGTTCGATCCACAGTATAGGTGGAAATATTAGGACATGTTTCCTTAAGACACTTGTTGGCCCTTCACTATCAGTAAAATAGGTACATGGGTGTTAGTTGACTGGTGTGGGTTGCATCCTGATGACAAAATTGACCTTATTTGCCTGAATTGCTCTGCATAACAAGGGACTTTCTATAAAGTAAGTAGTATGTTACTGATGTCGGTTATGGTTTGTATACACTGTACATGTACTTGTATAAATAAAGATGTTGATTATTATGTATCCAGTGTTAAAAATGTTGCTTTCTCTCTCTTTCTCTTTGCAGTGTGTTCACACATAACCCACTCCCCTCCTATCCCCCATAAATTGGATATGAAAATTGATCAATATTTTGGCCCATCCTGAACTTTTGTGAAGTCCAGGGTTATTTAATGGTCTGTGATTACCAAGATTTTGCCAATTTTCATTTCAAATTTGTTGGTTAGGTGCAAGTTCTTCATTAAAGTATTAACCTTTACTCAGTCTCCATTTTCCCCTCACATACATATCTAATTTTGATCATTTGTTGTCTTGGTGTGGCTATCTTTATCTTCATTATTGTCCATTCATTTGAACTCTTGCTGTTCATTAATGTCATCTTTCTACTCTTCTGTCTGGCCATCCTTTCCTGTCTATACATTTGTCTGTCTCTTCAATTTTTATATTAAAAGCTAAATCTGTTTAGGCCATACTGTACTTGTCATTCTTTCAAGCTTAAATGCAAACTAAACATAATAATTATAATAATTACATATGAAAATTGGATTACAAACCAAGATAGGCTAATAAGGTAAAATATTTCTAAAACTAGCATTATCCTATGAGCAATTTTAATAATGTGCAAACTACTATAAGTAACTTTGGTCAACAGAAGTTTTCTCAAAGAATAAAATTAGTTCTTTCTCCATGTTTAGGAATCGGAGTCGGTGGAAGATATGAATGTTAGGCTCAAGACGGAGATACAGAGGCTGACCACAGAGAAGATGAACTTGGAGAAGCTGCTTGAGGACCCAAAACATCTTGCATTCTGCCGCCATTCCCCACGTTGTTCCAAGCCCTTACGACCACCACTTGTTATAGTCACACCAGCAGACTCTCCTGACACCACCTCGAGCTCTTGTTCATCCTCTCCTACTTCCTCTACCTCGTCTTCTTCCTTGGACAGCCCTACCTCCCCACCCCTCACCAGTCCTAACAGCTATAAGGCTCCTCCCCAGACTGCTCCACCTGCTACCCAAGTCTCCTCAACCATGATAACTCCTAGTGCAACTTCCTGTGCCTCATCTTCATCGCAATTTCTGGCACCAAAATACAGCCTTTCTCAGAACCTGAATCAAAGGCATCATCCATACCAGTGCCCAGGTCGCTCTCAGCAGCCCTCAGCTGCCATGGGGGAGAAACCACTTTATGGAAGTCCACCCTCTCCCACTGGCACCCACAATAAGCCTGCTTACAGCAGCTATTCATGCATGGGAGTACCTCGGACTCTAGAATTTTTACCACCAAATCCACCATCTCAGAAGTCAGTATATACAACACCCAAGTCACGCAATAGTACTTTAGTGCGTTATAATCCATACAATGGACGTTCTCCGCCTGTACCATCCCCACTGGTCACCCATGCCCACCCACAGCCAGGGCCACTGCCTTGTGGGGACACATATATTCAGTCAAACAATAACAATGGGTGCGGACGTGAGGACCAGCAAACCTACGTGACAGACACTCGCACAAATCAGTTCTTTCCTCCATGCTCATACAGCAGCATGTGACCCACAGCCGGGGTAATTTAACCCCAGCTGGTTTTTGGTTCTAGATTAGCATGTTATTCTGTATGAGTGACATGCCTTCCAAGGTGGGCTTCTTGTAAATGTTGTACATTACCACAGGTTATTTTTTTAAGGTTGCTCCACTTCCTGGAGGGTTAATGCCAGTCTCTTAAGGCTGCTGCACAAGTTTGCTTTAATCCTGGCCTGTAATTTTGGGGTAAACTTTATACAAGTTCGCTTGCCTTGTATTTTATTTTATTTTTTTTTTTTTGCTGAAGGATAAGTTTTGTTGTTGCATGTTGTTGTATTAGACCTCGTATTTTCTGATGGTATTGAACACTTAGCCAAGAAGCAAGATTGCACCATGTCAATATTGTGTTAGTTGTTGCCCTGTTCTTGGTAGTGCTGGGTTTGTGTGTGTGTGCGTGCGTGTGTGTGTACGAACGAGAGCTCCAGAGCCTGGTCACTTAGGAATAGCACCTCTCTTAAGACATATCTGTTATATTTCTCAAGTGTCCTGGTTTACGTGATCCATACATATATATTTTTATTAGCTTTATTTTCATAACTGAAATGTTGGCAAATATATAACATGATGCTAAACGATTTAGTACAAAACTCCACATTCCTCTCTCCCTGTATCACGGTGAAGGACGTATCAGAGTGTGGCCACTCCAGGTCTTGTGGTCCCCACCACCAGCAGGTCTGTAGTGCCACTCCAAATGGACCACACTCCTGCAGTGTTGGCCACACTCGCTCAGCAGCTGCACTTAAATGTCAACAGCTTGCCAAGTGCAGTTCTGTACTATTACCCATCATCAGTATTCCACCTGCTGTTACCTGACTTTGAATTAGTGTGATCTCTCTATGGAGGCAACACAATATTTAAGACTATCTCATTGCAGACAGTGAGGCCATGTTTGTGTGTATCGCACCCTTCGTGTTTGTGAAGGTGTTTGTATACTGTACATTATCCCTTTTTATGTATTGTCAGTCACTAGGCATCGGCCGCTGGTGTCCCAAGTGAAGAGCCTGGGAAGGCCTGGTGCCCGTCTGATGCAATTAGTGATTGACAGGTGGTGGGCTGCCTGGGGGCCAGGTGCCCCTGCTGCTCCCACACCTGAACTGCTACCTACCCTTACCAGCCCCAAGTTCCAAACAGCTGGCTGTTAGGGGAACTAATTGTCCATTGTTTTGTCTTGCGTATACTGCTCAGATATCCCATCCCCTACTCTAAAACATGCCTGCATTGTCTATGAAACACTATTAGTAACTGCAGGTATCATGCCAGCTTGAATGTACATGACTACTGAGCCATTAGGTTATATTTGACTACACAAATTTTACGAGGTCTGAGACCTTGTGCAGATTCATTTTGTTGTGCATTGCCATTATGAACATATTCTGAGGCTTTAGCACGATTTGTTTTACAACCCTCTTTTTTTTTTTTAATTAATTTTCTTTCCTGCTCATCCATTTCCTAATCCTTACTGAATGTCTGTTGCTTATGTACTGGCAGTAGAACCTGACTTTTTTACCTGCCCCTTGCTGCTTCCAACTTTTGAGCAAGATAGGGAGGAAAGGGCAAAAGGCCAATGGTGTCAGGTGCTAAAATATAGTCTGCTTCCCTGGCCGCCATGACCCTACTGTCGCAGTTCTATGCACCAGTAGTTACTAAGCCGTCCAGCTCTACCTGCTGCATGGCAGCATTGAGTCCTATCATGCAAAACCACGAACTCGATCATGTTTGATAAATCTCACGAAAATTAATTAGGTAAGATATGTACTCTGTTTTATTGGCTTTATAAAGGAAACATAGGGGTAGAAATTACAGCAAGAAATATAAAATAAATGTGAAATGTTTGGATGAGTTTATATACAGTTTTTCAATAGTTACTCATTTAAAAACTAATTACTTAATTTCAACAGAAATGGACGGCCGCGGTGGGTGAGGCAAAGTTTGTTAAACAAGTTACCCACTCACATTTGGCAATACTGCCGACGCTGCCCCACACTACCGCCACACTCGATCACACGCAACTGAACGACTTAAAACGAAACTACAACGAAAACGACATCACTGATCCAGTACCCCTCACCGCCGGGAGCACCAGCCATTGACCCTGTCGAGGCTGAGGGCTGGTGCCCCATGCCCTTTCCCATGAGCGGTGACATTCCAGGTGTGGGGGGTACTTGTGATCTTGGTGACACTGACCTACACATCAACTATGTCTTCCTCCTGCAAATATATGTGGGAAAATCTGATTGCGATATGTACATTATTCTGCTATTGAAAATGCAATGAGAAACTTACATTGGCATCATATTAAGTTGGGCATGTATATAAAAAGACATTATCTAAGCATTTACTATCCACTGCTAATGTGCTATCAAATATTTTTATAAAACTGCTTCACTGAAGACAAAGCAGATTAATAAATTTGCAATATACTTATTCCTGTTCATGATTTTCCTTGAGACTACCAGGTAAATTTAGGATAGTAATTTACACATGGTATCAACTGTTTATTATATGTACTTTTATTCAGCAATGCAGTGCAAGACACTTATGTTTCAGGCATTTTAAAAACAGTACTATAGGATTCTGTTACACAATACTGAATCCAATAACTAAAATTAGAGCTTTAGAAATATTGCTCAGACATTTTTACTATTAGAAAATATTACCTTAAATACAAATTGAATTATACTCCATAATCAGCCAGTTTTGTGGCAGGCAATTTGGAGTGTAAGGTCAGTGTACAGTGGTATGATTATGCACTGACTATTTCTACTCTTCCCATCCCATCCTTCAATGGGGAAAGGGGTAACCTTGTCATTGAGGCTATTATGTAAGCATGAATGCCTTTATTCCCAAGGCACTATATGACCCCTATGAATTAAAGTGCTCCCCCATGAAATGTAATAATAATGAAGCTATTCTTCTTTTGAATCAGTTGCACTTACTTCCCACTCCACAAGTATATTCTGCCATTGTCTATTCCTTCCCAATTATATAATGCTTAAAAATGTAATAAAATTAAGTGTCTTACACCACCTTTAAAACTAAAGAGCAAATGCTGCTGCTGTTCACTACCTTAAATACACTCGGTAAACTCTCCATATGATGGACTAGGGAAATATGGACCAAAATATGCTGGACTCATAGATTAGGGAAAAAATGAACTCATACACTACAGAACTATCTTCTATTAAATGTTACCCACTCTTCCCTGTTGTTCGGTTAGATGGAGGGTTTAGTGACTTGGACAGCAGTAACCTTCGAGCTAAACCTAATGGACAGTGTGTAATAAGAATTTTATAGTACTGATCATTTGAAACATCTAAGGTGGCAGTGAACATTTCCAGGTACTAACAATAATGAACTACAACACTACATTATCAAACAAATTTCGGATAAAATAAATATTGGACTTAACTAAGAAATGCTACATTACAGGTGAATTATTTTAAACTATTTGCCACATAAAAAGGATTTCAAGTAATTTCTTTTAAAATATCAGGACTACAAAGGAGATTAAGCACACTAAGATCACAGTGAACTAAAATGAACAGACGACCACACTGACCACACTTTTTCAGGGTTAAGCACATTTTTCATAAACAGGACAGCTCCTGGACAGATGGCCAAAGGACATTTCACTGAATGGACAAAATGGCATTCATCACCTAACCTAACTTAATTTTCTGCTCAGCTAAATTTTAGTCGGTGAAATGTCTGTCGGCCAAGTGTCCATTGATCATGTGTCCAGCCATGAACAGGACTTGCACCAACTACCCTGAATGATCCGAGTATTCAACTAAATTAATGATAACCATGGTCAGACTGCAGTATTTTATTAATATTCAACCTTGAAAAATGGCAAGCACTATAGTAATGCCTAGGCCATAATAAATTATATATTTATAAATTATTTCACCACATACAAAACCATACAAAGTGCCATAATCAAACCAAAATCCATTCAGCAATCTAGACCATTCCAAATACTTTTCAGAAGTGCTAGCATACCAAATATTATTTTTAAGTGCCTAGCCAAGAACTGATGAACCTAAATATGCATGCCCAAGGTGGCATTTGAGAATATATACCTTTCAGTGCTAACCAATCTTTACATATAATAAGTAACTACATAAGTCAGCCAGACTTGAGTCGAGGTGGGAAGTACGGTGCCTGCACTTTAAAGGAGGGGTGGGGATATTAGCAGTTATGGAAGGGCATCTGAATTGTATTATCTACATGCCTCTGCCAAGACAGTGATAGTATAAACAGTGATGAAAGAGTTTATTTTCTGGGTCACACTACCTCGGTGGGAGGTGGCCAGTGTGTTAAAAAATTTGTATATAATTATACATAATATACAGTGGACCCCTGCATAATGATATTAATCCATTCCTGAGAGCTCATTGTTATGCGAATGAATTTTCCCCATAAGAAATAATGGAAATCAAATTAATCCGTGCAAGACGCCCCAAAGTATGAAAAAAAAATTTTACCACACGAAATATTAATTTTAATACACACAAACTGAAAAAGGCATGCACAGTTACATGACACTTACCTTTATTGAAGATCTGGTGATGATTGATGGGATGGGAGGAGGAGAGAGTCTTAGTGTTTAGAAGGGGAATCCCCTTCCTTTAAAAGACTTGAGGTGTAAAGTCCTTTTCTGGGGTTACTTCCCTTCTTCTTTTAATGCCACTAGGACCAGCTTCAGAGTCACTGGACTTCTGTCGCACAACATATCTGTCCATAGTGGCCTGTACCTCTCGTTCCTTTATGACTTTCCTAAAGTGTTTCACAACAGTGTTAGTGTAAGAGTCACCAGCACGGCTTGCAATAGCTGTGTTAGGGTGATTGTCATCAAAAAAGGTTTGCACTTTAAGCCACATTCCACACATTTCCTTAATCTTTGAAGTAGGCAACTTCTTCAATTACTCTCTCCCCTCCTCCAAAGCAGTTTCCTCAGGTCTGGCCTCTTGCTGTTGAAGTTGATCTAGCAGCTCATCAGTGGTTAGTTCTTCATTGTCCTCCTCCACCAACTCTTCCACATCATCCCCACTAACCTCCAACCCCAAGGACTTTCCCAATGCCACAATGGATTCCTCAACTGGCATAGGATTCCCAGGGTTAGCCTCAAACCCTTCAAAATCCCTTTGGTCTACACATTCTGACCACAGTTTCTTCCAAGCAGAGTTCAAGGTCCTCTTAGTCACTCCCTCCCAAGCCTTACCTATAAGGTTTACACAATTGAGGATATTAAAGTGATCTCTCCAAAACTCTCTTAGAGTCAATTGAGTTTCTGAGGTCACTACAAAGCACCTTTCAAACACAGCTTTTGTGTAGTTTTTTGAAGTTTGCAATAACCTGCTGGTCCATGGGCTGCAGGAGAGGAGTGGTATTAGGAGGCAAAAACTTCACCTTAATGAAGCTCATGTCCCCATAAAGTCGCTCTGCCACGTCTGTAGGATGACCAGGGGCATTGTCTAACACCAGGAGGCACTTAAGGTCTAATTTCTTTTCAGTTAGGTAATCTTTCACATTGGGGGCAAATGCATGGTGTAACCAGTCATAGAAAAAGTCCCTAGTGACCCATGCCTTACTGTTTGCCCTCCACAGCACACACAAATTAGCCTTGAGGATATTCTTTTGCCTGAACGCTCTGGGAGTTTCTGATGATACACTAATAAAGGCTTCACTTTGCAATCACCACTAGCATTGGAACACATCAACAGAGTAAGCCTGTCTTTCATAGGTTTATGTCCTGGGAGTGCCTTTTCCTCCTGAGTAATGTAGGTCCTGCTTGGCATTTTCTTCCAAAACAGGCCTGTTTCATCACAAATTAAACACTTGTTCAGGTTTCAGTCCTTCACTGTCTATGTACTCCTTGAATTCCTGCACATATTTTTCAGCTGCTTTGTGGTCCGAACTGGCAGCCTCACCATGCCTTATCACACTATGTATGCCACTACGCTTCTTAAATCTCTCAAACCAACCTTTGCTGGCCTTAAATTCACTCACATCATCACTAGTTGTAGGCATTTTTTTAATTAAATCCTCATGCAACTTCCTAGCCTTTTCACTTATGATCACTTGAGAGATGCTATCTCCTGCTATCATTTATCCATACCAATAAGAGTCTCTCAACATCTTCCATCACTTGCGATCTCTGTTTCGAAAACACAGTTGAACCTTTGGCAAGAACAGCTTCCTTGATTGCCGTTTTGTTGGACACAATAGTAGCGATGGTTGATTGGGGTTTACTATACAACCTGGCCAGCTCGGAGACACGCACTCCACTTTCATACTTAGCAATGATCTCTTTTTTCATCTCTATAGTAATTCTCACCCTTATTCCTGTAGGGTTGGCACTAGAAGCTTTCTTGGGGCCCATGGTCACTTATTTTGCAGATAAAATCACCAAAAACACTGTAATAATACGAAATGTTCCGATTGTATGCTTGGATGTTACCGCGGAGGCTGGCTGGTAAACAATGCCACTGGCGGAACATGTGAGGCTGGCTCAGGCCGCACATTAGACGCATCTCGGACGATTAGCGTTGAGCGGGTTTTTTAGCGGTATGCGAGGCAAAATCTTAGCGATAAAATGTATCGGTATGCGGATTTAACGTTATGTGATGCCAACGGTATGCGGGGGTCCACTGTATATATATTCTTCTTTCTTTCAACACATCGGCCGTATCCCACCAAGGCGGGGTGGCCCAAAAGGAAAAACGAAAGTTTCTCCTTTTACATTTAATAATATATACAGGAGAAGAGGTTACTAGCCCCTTGCTCCCGGCATTTTAGTCGCCTCTTACAACACGCATGGCTTACGGAGGAAGAATTCTGTTCCACTTCCCCATGGAGATAAGAGGAAATAAACAAGAATAAGAACTAGAAAGAAAATAGAAGAAAGCCCAGAGGGGTGTGTATATACAGTGGACCCCCAGTTAACGATATTTTTTCACTCCAGAAGTATGTTCAGGTGCCAGTACTAACCGAATTTGTTCCCATAAGGAATATTGTGAAGTAGATTAGTCCATTTCAGACCCCCAAACATACACGTACAAACGCACTTACATAAATACACTTACATAATTGGTCGCATTCGGAAGTGATTGTTATGCGGGGGTCCACTGTATATGCTTGTACATTTATGTGTAGTGTGACCTAAGTGTAAGTAGAAGTAGCAAGACATACCTGAAATCTTGCATGTTCATGAGACAGAAAAAAAGGACACCAGCAATCCTACCATCATGTAAAACAATTACAGGCTTTCGTTTTACACTCACTTGGCAGGACGATAGTATCTCCCTGGGTGGTTACTCTCTACCAACCTACTACCTAGATATATATATATATTTATATATACAGTGGACCCCCGCATAACGATCACCTCCGAATGCGACCAATTAGGTAAGTGTATTTAT